GAGTACAGCCTGGGATGGGGGCCGCAGTCAGAGAAAGTGGGGGAGTGGCCAGGGTGGGGACAAGTGGCATGTGGCAGGATGACTGGACTGCTGAGGGGGGACAGGTACAGGGCACCCCTCCCTCAGCCCCTGAGTCTAACTGCCACTTCCTCCCAGGACCAGGTTTTTGCCCAGCCCTGCCTCACCTCATCCTCACCCCTCCCAGGATCCCCTTCCCAGAGAGAGGGGGGCTAGGGATCCACAACTGAGGCCAGGCTAAAGGCAGGCAGCGAGGTGTGGGGTGGACAGGTGAATGGCTACGGCTGAGGGGTTGGGGTGTCAGAGGGCAGCAAGCCCAGCCTGGGGAGGAGGTAGGTGAGGGTGGCTGTGTGAAGCGAGCAGGTCTAGGAGTCGAGCCACTTCCTGGGCAGAGAGGAACTTTGGAGCCCACCTGCCTGCCTTCCCACCTGCCTCCCTCTCGCCCCTCCAGGCTGGTCTCCTCCGTCCAGGCCATCATGGCCTCCACTGCTGGGTATATTGTCTCCACCTCCTGCAGGCACATCATAGATGACCAGTAAGTGCCCTCTGAACCCTGCGGACCCTGGGTACGGGGGGGGGGGGCGGGCTGCTAAGGTAAGGGAGAACTCCCCTTCTAGGGAACTCTGTCCGTGGTCCCTAAGCCCTGAACTTGGGCCTGAGCAAGTTAACTGCAGTGACTGCAACTCAACACCTAGGGATAAATTTATCCCATGTTGTCCTTAAAGGTCAGAGTGGGGAGAAGGAGCGGGGATCTGAGAGGATCCTCGGGGCGGTTCCAGGCCACTGCTCGGCCACTTGGGTCCTAGTGGGTGATGGTCTTTGTCTCCCCTCCTCCTCACGCCCCCCCCTTGGCCCCTACTTCTAACCTGCACCCACCTGGGGTGTCCCTCCAGCTGCTGCGTGGCTCACCTCCTCCCACCATCCAGGTGCCCGGCCCCAGCTCAGAGCACGAGGCAGAAGCTGGAGGACAGATGACACAAACAAGGCCACTAACGGTCACGCAGTGGGGGCAGGAGGGAGGGTGAAGAGGCCAAAATTTGGCACTGGTAGCTGCTGCAGTGCCTGCCGCTTGCCAAAGAGGCCCCAGGGCCTGCGAGGTGGGGCAGCAGCAGCGGGCGGCCGGCTCTGTCCGTGGTGCTGACGGGACCCACGGGAGTGAGTTGCAGGTGCCTCAGCTGAGGGCTCTGCTTTCCTCCTCTGGTGGCCCTGAGTCCCAGGGGGACGTTGTGCGGATGGCTCTACTCCCAAGGTGTGCTCCATGCGCACTGTACCCCCTCTTTTCCTGTAGACGCATTAGTTTTCTCGTCTCTAGAGGTCGCCTCCTTTCCCAGATGGGCTGCCAGGAGGAGGAACTAAGTTGATGTGGGACAGATGCCTTGATGTAAATGTGGTGGACACTTAATTCTTTCTTCCAAGCCGACCGGGTGACGTCCTTCTCCCCGGGGCCATCCCACTGCTGGCCCGAGAGGAATCCAGGCGCCCACGCATGTCCTACCTTCCTTCAACACCCATAGGTCACCTTCCGGTTCTTGAATTCCCTCCCCAACCCCACCCCAACTAGGTCTGTTCTTGTCTCTCTTCTCTTTAATCCTCAGGTAGAGGAGGATAAGGATTAATCCAGAGCAACAGCTGTTCCCCTTCTTAGTACCTAATTGCTGGAGGGTGGGGCCCAGTTTAACTAGTCACAGAGCAGCCAAGTTCAGTCAGTCCCTCCTGAGCCTCCTCCCCCTGGCTCAGGGCTTCACTCCACAGCAGGGCTGCTGGGGGCTCATTGGGCCCTTCCTGTTGGGAACTGCCCACGGGCCAGCTAGGTCTTCCCCACTCTTCTCTCCCAAATCCCTGTCCTTCCCATGCTGTAGCAATGTGTGTCTCCAGCTGGACGGTGGACCGCCTCACCTCTTCCAGCTGCCCTGCCACACCCCTGTCCTCAGCTGGCTCCAACCCCAGTTCTCTACTTTCCCCCTCAGCATCTCCTTGCACTAGATCTTTTTCCACCACCCCTCTGCCAAGGTGGGTGGATGAGTTCCTGCTGGGCCCTTCCTTGCTGGTCTCCCCCCCACCACACACACCCCACCTTGGGGTGGTCACTCGCAAGACTCCAGGGCTTCGACGAGAGTGCCAAGATGCTGACTCAAGAGGGAAAATGCAATGTTGCATATTCATGCCCTTCTCGTTTTTGTTTACTCTCCAAGCAGGGAGAGCTTGGTCTGTTCTTGGCACCTTCAGCTCAGCAATTTCTCCTTAATGCTTGGCCATACCTGAAAAAGCAAGAGATGGGGCCTCCCTTGGGCAGAACAAGCGGCACAGACAGTGCCAGCCTGGGCACCAAGAACACGACCAGCCTCTAATGCTTCTTGAATTTTCCAGGGATCTCAAGGCAGCCAGATTTCTGTTTGGCTTGGGCTGCGTTACCTGGTCCTTCCGTGATTTGGTTTCTCCACCTGCTCTGTGGAGTTAACAACTGCCTTCTTCCAGGGCCTTGTACATGCAAGGGCCGTAGAGGCTTAGCCTGGGGCCTGTGCGTAGTGAGTAGCCAGGGGAGATTTCCCCCCCCCAGTAACCCCCCCCAGCCCTCCTCGTACCGTTGTCCTATGTTCAAGCAGCCACCGTCCTCCAGGCTTCGCCTGCACTTGCACTTGAATGGCCTTTGGTCGTGGGAACCTTCTAGTTTCTTTTCCCTTTCTCCTACGTAGAGCAGAGCAGCGGCAGGGGCACCATCATCCAGAATTCAAGAGTCCAGTTGTGTCTTGGGGGGTGTTTGCCAAGACCACGGGAGATCTGACTGGCCAGGGTGCCCAGCTCTGCCCAGCCACTGGCCCTCCTTGAAACATCTCTCTCTGCCCAACAGACACTGGCTGTCCTCCGCCTACACGCAGTTTGCAGTGCCCTACTTCATCTATGACATCTACGCCATGTTCCTCTGCCACTGGCACAAGCACCAGGTCAAAGAGCATGGCGGGGAGGCCCGCGCCGCGGGCAGCACCTGGGCTGTGGTGCGCGGCTACCTGCACAAGGAGTTCCTCATGGTGCTGCACCACGCCGTCATGGTGCTGGTGTGCTTCCCACTCTCGGTGGTGAGTCCTCCGGGCTGGCCCAGAGCCTCGGCCCTCCTGCCTGCACCTACCCCCACGGGAACCCTGGGAGGACACCCCTGGGTCTTGGCAGCAGGGTGCAGCGCCAGAGAAGGCTTGCTGGGCACCCCCCAGCCCCTGTGGCAGGAGGCACCTGCGTCTGGAGGAAGGCTGGGCTCTGCCCAGCTGGGGTGCTGCCCCGTGTCTCTGAGTCTCCTTTGCTGTGCTGGGAGAAGCTGTGCCCTTTTCCCTCAGGGGTGACAAGGAGGGATGCGGTAAGGTCATACACCCCGCTCCCCGGCCCCCGCACCCCTCGTGCTGCTGTGCACTCGTTCTGACCCTCAGAGTGGGAGGGTCGGGGAGTGACGGGGGAGAGGCAGGGCAGAGGTGGCTGTCCCTTCACTGTCTTGGTCCCTCCCCTCAGGTGTGGCGACAGGGCAAGGGAGACTTCTTTCTAGGCTGCATGTTGATGGCGGAGGTTAGCACCCCTTTCGTGTGCCTCGGCAAGATCCTCATCCAGGTGAGGGGGCGTCTGCGGGCGGAGAGAGGGCACAGCCACACGGGGGCGCTCTCGGCAGGGACGCTCAGGGCGGCGGACAAGGCGGAGCGGGGCGGGGCTAGAGGCGGGACTATGGCTGTGCCGGGGCGTGGTTACGGGCGGTACGGGGCGGGGCTGGGGGCGGTGTCTGGGCGCGGCCCCGCCCCCTGGCAGCCCTCTCTGTGCCCACAGTACAAACGACAGCACACGCTGCTGCACAAGGTCAACGGCGCCCTCATGCTGCTCAGCTTCCTGTGCTGCCGGGTGCTGCTGTTCCCCTACTTGTACTGGGCCTACGGGCGCCACGCGGGGCTGCCGCTGCTCGCCGTGCCCTCGGCCCTGCCCGCGCACGTGAACCTGGGCGCTGCGCTACTGCTGGCCCCCCAGCTCTACTGGTTCTTCCTCATCTGCCGCGGGGCCTGCCGCCTCTTCCGGCCCCGGGGCTGCCCGCCGCCCTCGCCCTGCCAGACCCGCGACTGAGAGCAGCACCCTGCCCGCCCTGCTCCGCGGGGACAGAGCTCTGGGGCTGACGTGTAAGGGGGTGGGATGCGGGCAGGAGGGAAGGGACGTGGGGGGACGACGCCTCTGGCCCTGACAGCCCCAGGACCACAGATGGACTTGACCCCCGGGAGAGGGGGCTGGGGCAGGGGTGACAGGAGGCAGGATCAGAGGGGACCTCTCCCCCATGCACTCCCTGGGCAGAAGAGAGGAGGGACCATGCTTCTCCCTGCTGGGGCTGGAGGGTGTGTAGGGAGACAGGGCAGGGGGAAGATCAGAGACCGTGGGGAGGCCCCGCTGCCCAGCACCCGCCTCACCCCTCAGCTGCAACCCAGAAAGAGGGCAAGCACTGTACCAAGCCGTGGGCCTCACTGCCTCCCAGCTCCCCCAGCACCTCTCCCAGGGAGGCTGGCTTGAGAAATCTTATTTATTTGTCCGAATTCCAACTAGTTTGGTGGGGTGGGGGAAAGAGGCTGCTACCCTCCGCCCCTACCCAGTGCTGAGCATCCCCGGGGGCAGGTGAGGGGCGCCCTGTCCCTCCCCACTGGCCGCACATCTTCGCCCTTGGGCCCTGGCATGTCCCTGGTGCTACACATCTCTCCAGGCGTCCTCTGGGCTGGGGACGGGGTGCCTGGGAGGTGCTTTCCCAGCCGCTAATAAAGTTGATCTCCGTCAACAGCCACCACTGCCCTGTCCTGTCTTGGCCCAGTTCTTGGGAGGTGGAGCAGGAGGAGGGGATGGGGGATCCCGGGGACCCTGGAGCTGAGTGCCCACCGGGCTCCGCTGGCCACGGAGCGGTGGTGAAGGAAGGAACCTGGCCAAGCCAGTTATTCATCAGGGCACAGAAGGGTGCGCATGGGTGCTCCGTCGGCTCCTTAGGCCCCTTTCTGGAAGCTCCTGTGGGGTATGGAGATCGGTGGAGGTGGTTTGGGGTGCTTCAGCTGTCCGCAGGGAGGTGGGCAGGGCAGGCCTGGGAAGGCGGGGCTTGCAGGAGGGTGTGGCTTATATGGGGTCCTGGAAGGTGAGGCAGGGCTTACATGTGGGTGCAGAACTGGAAAAGGAGAAACAAGAAGGCCACCACCATGGCGCCCATCAGGATGTGGTGGAAGAACCTGGAACTGGAATCTGCTGGCCAAGGAGGGGGACACGGGTCCGCTGACTCTGCTGGGCCTGACATGTCCATGCCAGGGGTAGCCCACTCCATGCCCTGGCGAAGTGAGAGGCTATTCCACAAGGTGGCTCCTACCTGAGGGAACAAAGACAACAGGCTTCTCCCCGATGAACTGGGCCACGGCCAGAAGGCTATCTCGGTCTGAGTCCGGGTAGTCGAAGAAGTCCGGCCTGTCTATGAAGAGCGGACCCACTGCTCGTGGGGTGGACGCCTTAGCTGGCCTGGGTGCTGGGAGCCAGAAGGACGCCTGTGACAACAGCTGGGGAGGGGGCACTGCCCTGCGCAACCCCCAGGCTGCGGTGCACTGGGAGACGGAGGGTGGACAGGAAAGGAAGGCCACGACAGGCCTACACGTGCCTAGGGGCCGCTGCCCCTCGCCCACAGCTGGCCGCCCAGCACTTCCCACCTGCTTCCCCTGCCCTCAGCCTCGTCAGCCACAGCCACACCAGCACCCACAGCCGCAGCCTCATGACCAGGATGGCTTCAGGATGCCGGGTTCTGTGATGTCACAGCCTGGAGCCATTCCGACGGGGGTCCCTGAGGTGGTGAGGTGAGAGGACATGCTAGCCCGCAGGGCAGAAGGGTGAAGATGATGCTAATGGCGGTGCTGATGGAGGGGTCTCCACAGGGGTGGAACTCGGTGGGACCAGGGCGCCAGTGGCCCCCGTGCTGGGGAATTTGGGGTGTGTGCTTCCCACCCCGAGACTCCCCTCCCACGTTCAGGGGCGCGAGGTGACCCCTTTCCTTTTCCCAAGTCCTTCGGTGTCCGCGGAAGAGCGTGCGGGCCAGGAGCCGGGAGGCAGCCGGCCGTGCCACTGGGTGGCAGCAGTGCCCGCGCTGGTGCTGTGACCGCCGGAGGCCCCGCGCCCGCCTCCGGCCACAGGGGGAGGCTGTCAGCGACCGGCAGCTCGCCCCAGAGTTGGAAGCGCTCCACACCATCCCGGGGCAGGTCTCCTGGCCCTCCACAGGGCCTGCCAAGACCCTGTCCATCGTGTCTCAGCTTCCCCTTTAGTGACGCGTGGGTGTCCCCCGCCAGGCCATCCTGTCTTCCCTCTAGTCCCAGCGATGCTGTCACCTCCCAGCGCTGTAGTATACATTCCCCGTGGCTGCACCGCAGCTTTTAAGAGGTAGCTGTCCTTTGATTGGCAGGAGGGCTGTCTGTCACAGAAGTTCCCGCCCACCTGAACCCAAGGACTCTCCAGGGTCTCCTTGTTTTGGCCCTGCCCATCTGATCAAAAGCCTGGGACTGACCAGTGACAGGACACTGGACAGACACAGGACAGGGGTGGAGGCTCTGCCTTGCTCTCCACCAGGAACCTGCAATATGAGGGAACCTGATCGCAGCCACCTACCGGCACTTGCCTCCACAGTTTGCTTTCTGTTGGGTGAATGAGAGGGGAAGCAGGTATGGCAGAGGGAAACCGCCCTCACAGGGCCCCTTGTGGCTTGTGTGGGTTGCTTTCCTTCGCACTATCTCCTCCAGAAAGAAGCCACTGCAGGCTGGGCTGTGGCCTACTGCACGCTGGTTCGAGTTCTTCCTGGCTGTGCTGCTTCTGATCCAGCCTGAGACAGCAATGGAGAGGGCCCATGTGCCCTGGCGCTCCCCTGGGAGACTCGGATGGAGTTCTGGCTTCTGTTTGGCATAGCCCTAATCATTAGCACCCGTTAGCACGTGTGCCAACTGATGGAAATCTCTGTATCTTTCAAATAAATAAAATCTTAAAAGTAGCAGGGCACAGGCTCGTGTGTGTGTGTGTGTGTGTGTGTGTGTGTGTGTGTGTGTGTGTGTGTGGGTGTGTGTGTGGGTGTGTGTGTGTGTGGGTGTGTGTGTGTGTGTGGGTGTGTGTGTGTGTGTGGGTGTGTGGGTGTGTGGGTGTGGGTGTGTGTCCCTGACTCCATCCCGACCTCAGGCCTGCCAGCAGATTCTCTTCAGATTCCATTGCTGGGAGCAGGTGGATTTGGGAGCTTCCACAGTTGCCTGGATAGAGTACACACAGCTGGGGGCCAGCGCTCTGGTTCAACTACCACATGCTGGGATCCCGTGTAGGTGCTAGTTCAAGTCCCAGCTGCTCCACACTTTCTATCCAGTGCCTTGATTATGGCCTGCGAAAGCAGTGAAGGATGACTCAAAGCCTTGGGACCCTGCACCTGCGTGGGAGACCCAGAAGAAGCTCCTGGCTTCAAAGTGATCCAGCCCCCACCTGTTGTGGCTAGGAAATTAGAGCTCCCTCCATCTCTGTAATTCTGGTTTGCAAATAAAAACCTTTATACACACACACACACACACACACAGCTGCACTCTGCTGGGAAAGGCCCTTTCCACTCGCGTAGGGAATTATCCGCCAACCAACCCTCAATTAACATATTGGCCTCATGCTACATGCTGAGCTGGACTCTGTTTATGACTTGGCCAGAAGCCACCAAGCCAAAGGGCTGGTTGTGTGGCACAGTGGATTAAGCTGCTGCTTGCAATGCTGGCCTCCCTCATCAGAGTACCGGCTCCAGTCCTAGCGCCTGCCCTTGCAATCAAACTTCCTGCTAAAGCACCTGCTCATGTACTTTGGCGGGCAGCAGATCATGGCCCAAATGCTGTAGCCGTGTGGGAGACCCAGATGGAGTTCCAGGCTCCTGGCTTCAACCTGATCCAGCCCTGGTGGTTGTGGTTGTTTGGGGAATGAACCAGCAGATATAAGATTTCTGCTTCTTTGCCTCTTTTGGAGGTTCTGCCTTTCAGACAAAACAAACCAATCTCTGGCTCACAGGGTGAGAACCTGTGGGGTTACATGGCTGTAACTGGCACCTCCGCAGCCTCCCTTTCCGCGTCTTCCACAGCTATGGCTCTGATTTGGCCTCCGCTGCGCCACGGAAGCCACCTTTGACTTATTTATTTTTATTTGAAAGTCCGATGTACAGAGAGGAGAAATAAAGATCTTCCATCCTCTGGTCCACTTCCAAGTGGCCACACGGGCCAGAGCTGAGCAGATACAAAGCCAGGAGCCAGGAGCCAGGAGCCTCTTCTGGGTCTCTCACCTGGGTGCAGGGTCCTAAGGCCTTGAGCCATCCTTGACTGCTTTCCCCACTCATAATCAGGGAGCTAGAAAGGAAGTGGAGCTGGGACATGAACCCATACCCGGAGGGGATCCCAGCATGTATAAGACGAGGACTTCAGCCTTTAGGCTACTGCACGGGCCTGGCTCTTCTTCTTTATTGGAAAAGTAGATTGGATTTACAGAGAGAGCGAGAAACAGAAAGATCACTCTCATTCCCCAAAAGGCTGCAATGGCCAGAGCTGGGACAATCAGAAGCCAGGAGCTTCTTCCAGGCCTCCTACACAGCTGCAAGGTTCTTTGAAAGGCAGAGTTACAGACAGAAACCGAGTTACACAGAGACAGAGAAGGGAGAGAGAGAGAGAGAGAGAGAGAGAGAGATCTTCCATTTACTGGTGCATGCCCCAAGTGGCTGCAAAGGTCAAGGTTGGGCCAAGCTAAAACCAGGAGCCAGAAGCTCCATCCAGATATTCCTTATGGGTAGCAGGGGCTCACATACTTAGACCATTCGCTGCTGCTTTCCCAGGCACATTAGCAAGGAGTTGGATCAGAAATGTAACAGCCAGTACTTGAACCAGTGCCCATATGGGACTTTTGTGCTGCAGGCAGCAGTTGAATAGGTTATGCCACAGCACCAGCCCCACCAATGGCATCTTTTTGATGCTCCCTTTCCTTTGCATGGCTTCTGTCCAGCACAGGGTGCACCCAACCCTCACTCCCACAGGACAGCAACACTCCTCAGTCCCCGGGGCTGCTCCACCCCCTCCTCCTACCGCCAGCTCAGCCGTGGACCTGGCCTTGGATCTATATTCTTCCTCCCAAGGTGATCTCACCCAGCCTCCTGGCTTTAAATACCAGCTATAGGCTGGTGACTCACCACAAATGTATATTTCCAGCCCAGACCTCGCTCCCCCGAGCTACAGACCCCCAGATCCCATTTCCTGTGCCTGTCTGCATGTGTCAATCTAAGAACATCCCAGATGCCCGTGCCACCCACGTGGGGCCCGACTCCTCAGCCCGCTCCCTCTGCTGTCTCTTCATCTCAGCGAACGGGCTCATCAGGCACACACACACACGCACACACGCACACACACACACACGCACACACGCACACAGAGCCAGCTCTGTCCCTGCTTCCTCCTTGGCAAGCCCCATAGTAAGAGCTGTTCGCTCTGCTTCCACATCCATCTCCAATCCCCCCACCCCACCCCTGCTTTGCGTTCTCTCTTCACGTGTGTCTCACTGAGTTTGCAGCCTCAGCCTTCGGGTTGGGTCAGCCACATCCACACGTGCGCTCACTCCCTGTGACCCGTTGCCCAGCCCTCCGTCAGCACAAATTGGAAGGAGGCCTGTGCTTCTGCTGCTTCAAATCCTGCAGCGGGGGTGGGGGCTTGGCACAGCAATTACAGCAATTAAGTCACTGCTTGGGACATGCCATGTTGTAGAGATGGTTCAAGTCCCAAGGGGTGCCTACATCCAATCCAGCTCCCTGATAATGCGCTGGGAAAGCAGTGTTCCAAGGCCTTGGGTTGCTGCCTGCACAGGTGGGAGACCACACTGACCCGGCTATTGTGCGCATTTGGGTTGTAAACCAGCAGACACACAAAGTTTTTTCTCTCTGTGTGCCATTTTTTTTTTAAAAGACATTTATTTTTTATTGGAAAGTCAGATATACAGAGAGGAGGAGAGACAGAAAGGAAGATCATTCGTCTGTTGATTCACTCCCCAAGTGAGCCCAGTGGCCGGAACTGAGCTGATCCGAAGCCAGGAGCCAGGAGCTTCTTCTGGGTTTCCCATGTGGGTACAGGGTTCTAAGCTTTGGGCTGTCCTTGACTGCTTTCCCAGGCCACAAGCAGGGAGCAGGATGGGAAGCGGGGCAGGAATTAGAACTGGTGCCCCATATGGGATCCCAGCATGTTCCTAGGCAAGAACTTTAGCCTCTAGGCTACCGCGCTGACACCCTTTATGTGTCATTTTTGCCTTTTAATATAAGATTTTATTTGAAACACAGAGGGTGAGCTTCCGTCTGCTAGTCCATTCCCCAAATGCCAAAAACAGCTGGGGCTGTTTCAGGCTGAGGCGGGGGCTGTGACCTCAAATCTGGGTCTCCTCCATGGGTGGCAAGGACCCAAGTACTCAAGCCACCACCTACTGCCTCCCGGGATGCGCATCTGCAGGAGGCTGGACCTGGAACCCAGACATTGCAGTAGAGGTTACAGGTGTCCTGGACTCATCTTGGTGGTATACAGCAGGTGCATAAGCATATTCACTCTTGTTGCACAACCACATTGCCCCCTTTTCAACCCTGCCATTCCACGGTGCTGACTTAGCGCCAGGCCCAGGGTGGGGCACCAGAGGACTCAGATGAACCTGCCACTGGCTTATTGGCTGGTGGGGGAGACAGACATGTCAACAGGCAGGGAGCAACGAAGCCAGAACCAGGCAAGCCGAGCTTGCCTGCTGCAGGCAGGCTCCTAGGAGGAGGTGGCCTGAGATGACCCCTGAAGGAAAGGAAGGTGTCTCAGGTTGAGGAGCCTTTGGGAACCAAGGTGTGGAGCTCTAAAAGGTTGGTGGATGTCTAGGAACTTCCAGCAATTGTGTGGGGAAGCCTGGGAGCCAGCGTGGGCAGCTAAAAGGCCTTGAAGATCACAGCCAGGTCAAACTGGAGTCAAGATCAAAAGTGGCTAGGGTGAGGGGCCATGGATGGCAGGTGTGGGGCAGGGTCCAGGTGAGAGGGGCGGGGACACTGAGTTATTGATAAGGGCTGCTGCTGGTGTGGGGTTCTCCAAGGAGATGCCATCCCTGAGAGGGGGCACTGGCCCCTGGGGAGTGGCCAAAGAGGACACGTTGGGGAAACGGTAGCCTGGGACTCCTGACTTCTCCCTTGGACAGTGAGGTTCCCCCAACCCTCCTGGAAGACCCCGCAGAGCCCAGGCCCAGCAGCGGCGGGCCGACCGGATCCAAGTCACTGCGGATCTCTAAGCCCCGCCCCTACGGGCCCTGGGATTGGGGGGGACCAACGCCCTCCTCCCTCCTCCAAGCGCCCTTTGCTTGGAGGGAAGGGCGTGAAGCTGTGCGGGTGGGGTGCGGTGGGGTGGGGTGGGGGATAGATGAGCCGGCGTTGCCATGGCAACAAGGCCGGTGGTCGGGCCCGGGAGCCCCAGGAGGGGAGGGCGGCTCTGAGGACTCGGAGCGCTCGGGTGGGCGGCGGCCAGGGTCTCCCGGGACGAGTTGGGGAAACCCGTCCCTGCTGTCCTCACCCGCTCCCCCAACCCCAACCCCGAGCGCTCTCCCTGCGCCTTCCCGGTGGCGCAGGAAGCCCGCGTGTGTTTGCGTCTGCGAAGTTCTCCGGTGAGTGTGCGAGCGCGCGTGCAGGCTGGTGCATGCGTGTGCGCTCGCCCACGTGGGCACGGCCGTGGGGGCCCGGCGGGGGTGAGCCCGCGTCCCGCCCCCTCCCCGGCCCGGCCGCGCGCCCCGCCCCCCGCTGCCGGCGCCGGCGGCCTCGGCGCTTCCCCGCGCTCAGCCCCCTCCGCCTCCTCCCGCACTTTCGCGGCTCGGGCTCCCCCGGCGGCTCGCACAGCCGGACTCGGCGCTCTCCTCGCTGGCCGCCGCCGCCCCGCCGGCAGCGCAGTGCCCGGGCACCTGTTGGAGGCACAGAGGCAGGTGCAGGGGGCTGGGCCGGCCGGGGGCGTGCGGGAGGGGGCCCAGGGGGTGTTCAGCGCGCCTGCGGCTGCAATTTCACGCTCAAGAGGAGGAGGCGTCTCGGGCTGGGGTCTCCTCCTTGGGTGGCAGTGGGGGGCAGGGAAGGACGAGACAGGCACAGGGATTCTGGGCTTGGGTGAAGACAGGACCGCGGGGCATAGGCAGCCCGGAGGGGCGGGGGATACCCTGACCTGAGAAGCGCCTGGTGCAGAGAATGACCAGAGGGACAGAGGTGGCACCTCCAGGGGAGCCAGGGCTTGGGGGGAAGCCCAGACCCCAGAAGAGGGCAGGAGGGTAACCAGTCTAAAGGTACCAGGTCTGGGGGAGCAGGCTGGCAACCTCTTCTCCTGTGCAGCGAGGGCCCGGGGCTCCTGTGGCTGTGGCCCCCGGACCAGCACAGGTGGCTACCCCTTTGTCACCTGGCAGGACAGGCCAGTGAGGGTCACCAGCGGCGCAGGCTGCCCCAGCGCTCCACCAGCGGCCAGCAGGTGGAGGGAGGCAGCCGGGCTCACACTGTCACCCCTCGCCGGCCAGGAGCGCTGCATGAGGGGCCGCAGGGGCGACCGCATGACCATCAACATTCAGGAGCACATGGCCATCAACGTGTGCCCCGGGCCCATCCGGCCCATCCGCCAGATCTCCGACTACTTCCCCCGCCTGGGACCGGGACCCGAAGGAGGGGGTGGCGGCGGCGGGAGCTGCGGGGAAGCCCCTGCCCATCTGGCTCCCCTGGCTCTGGCCCCCCCAGCCGCCCTCCTTGGGGCTAGCACGCCCGAGGATGGAGCCGAGGTGGACAGTTACGACTCGGACGATGCCAGTGAGTGGGGTGCTGATGGGGGAGGGGGCTGTGGGAGCTGCTGGGTGAGTGTGTAGGGCGCAGGGCGGGGTAGGGGTGGGGGGCGGCCGGAGGCCGTGGTGGTGGAGGCTACGGATTGTGGGGACTGCCGGCACAGCTGCAGCCGGTGTGTGGCGGTTTCAGCATCAGCGAGGCTCAATATTCAATATTTCTGCCACCCACACAGTCCCGCTTGGCGGCCAAGCCAGGGACCCAGACGCACACACGCACATGCCCACTCAGCTGCTGGTACACGCATGGGCACACACACAAACACACCCTATGCCATGCGCCTGACCTGGCACGGCATACTGACTCACACTCTGTCCCCACTTCCCCAGCTGCCCTGGGCACCCTGGAGTTCGACCTTCTGTATGACCAGGCATCCTGCACCTTGCACTGTAGCATCCTCAGGGCCAAGGTGGGCATACTCCCTTCTGACCTGCAAGGAGCAGGGTGGAGCCGGCTCCTCCTCCCCCTTCCCCACCCCCTCTGCAGAGGAAGAGGAGGAGCAGCAACCCTCTTCCCTCTTTGCAGGGCCTCAAGCCCATGGACTTCAACGGCCTGGCCGACCCCTATGTTAAGCTGCACCTGTTGCCTGGAGCCTGCAAGGTAACAGCCTCCTTCCAGTCTGCCCCCACCTGGCCTGGACCTGGGCCCAGTGTCCCAGGCCCCTGACTCCCCCTCCCAACCCTTGTGTTCAGTTAGTGTGGGCCAGTGGGGGATGTGTCATCCGATCTCTTTGTCTCTGGGTTCCAGGCCAATAAGCTAAAAACCAAGACTCAGAGGAACACGTTGAATCCCGTGTGGAACGAGGATCTGACGTACAGCGGGATCACGGTTGATGACATCACTCACAAGGTGCTCAGGTGAGGCCCCCGCCAGTGCCACCGGGATTCCTGCCTGGTGGCATTTTCCGTGAACCCCTGTCATTTAACCTGTGGTTAGCTCATCCATTGCCAAGTCGCTTGAAGCTCCTACTTTTCTGATGTTCAGGAGCAATCTGAGCCTCCCCAAAGATCTTCCCGGTCTTCCAGCCCCCTGCCCTCATCCCTTCCCCAGTAGCTCCTGCTGCCCTTGGGAATAGGTGATCACCACTTTCTTTTGACTAGGCAGGTTCCTTGTTCCTTGCCTGGCCAGTTGGGACTCGCAGCTTCCTGCCGGCCAGCCTCAATGTCCACTTTTCTTAAGCACTGAAGTCTTCTGTGACAGGGAACGTGTCCTGTGACCCTAGGGACAGTGGAGGGAAACAAGCCCAGGCCGCCAGAGGCCCCTTCCTGGCCTCTCAAGCAGTCCTGGGAGCCAGGGAAAAGGACATGGCCAGGGCTGTTTTCCAGAGCTCACGCTGGTGGTGACTGCGGGGGTAGACGGCAGGGGAGGAGGACAAAGGCAAAAAACCAGAAAGGCTCGTCTGGGCTTTCAGATGTGAGAGAATCGGAGGCCTAAAAATACTGCTGCTCACTGGTGCCCAGCCTGGGCCACGCATTTTTTACATCTATTTCATTTGTGCTCATAATAGCATTAGGAGGCAGCTGCTCATTATCTCCGTTTGCAGATGGGGGTGGAAGCTTAGGACGTGAAGTGACTTCCCCAGGGTCCTACAGGCGGCTGGCTGGCAATTGGCATCTTCACACGCCATGGCAGCTCAGCCCAGTGGCCACTGGCAGAGGCAGTGGCACAAGGGCTAGGGAAGGGGACAGATGAAGGGAACCAAGCTTTTCCTTACAGCTGGGTCCCTGGGTCTCTGTTAGGCCAGGTGAGGAGGTGAGAGGGTACCCTGCTGTGCTCGTGAGCACTGCCTATGTCTGAGGCACTGGCTGGATCTGGTCCATGGGCGGTGAGGGGAGGGGGCTCTCATGGACCAGGGGTTGTGTGTGGGCAGCTGGAGGAGGAAGGGCAGAGGGACCAGGCAAGTGTGGTCATCCTGCTCAGCCCAGATCAGGGCAGAGCTGGCACTGGTCTGAGGATCTCCCTCCCACCCTGGAGGGGGTGCCCTGACCCTGTAGTTCCCTCCAGGATCTCCGTCTGCGATGAAGACAAGCTGAGCCACAATGAGTTTATTGGGGAGATCCGAGTACCCCTTCGCCGTCTCAAGCCTTCACAAAAGAAGCATTTTAACATCTGCCTTGAACGCCAGGTCCCGGTCCGTGTAATGGCTTACAGGGGCACCGGAAGGGGTAACGTCCAGGGCAGACCAAGTTTCTAGAACCTTCTGTCTCCCTCCCCCTCCTTAGCTGGCTTCACCCTCTTCCATGTCGGCAGCATTGAGGGGCATTTCCTGCTACCTGAAGGAGGTAAGGCCGCCCCTCTGGAGGGACTCTTGCTGGGAAGGGGGAGGTAGTGGACGCCTCAGCTGAGCACTGGCCCTGTCCCTACAGCTGGAGCAGGCAGAGCAGGGGCCTGGGCTGCTGGAGGAGCGTGGCCGCATCCTGCTGAGCCTCAGCTACAGCTCCCGGCGCCGGGGGCTGCTGGTAGGCATCATCCGCTGTGCCCACCTGGCTGCCATGGACGTCAACGGCTACTCAGACCCCTACGTCAAGACGTGAGCCCCTGCTTGTGGCCTGCTGCCCACCCCAAGGAGCCTGCCCCCCTGCCTGGTGTCCCTGCAGGGCCGCGGCAGGAACCTATGCAGTATGGCTCTCCTCTCAGCTGCACCCCACCCCACAGGTACCTGAGACCGGATGTGGATAAGAAATCTAAGCACAAGACGTGTGTGAAGAAGAAGACGCTGAATCCAGAATTTCATGAGGTAAATGAGGCGGGGAAGGGCAGGTGGCTCTGGGCCGGGGGTGGGCTTCGGGGAGAGCCCCAGCAGAAGGCACGGCTGGCCTCCCCAGGAGTTTTTCTATGAGATGGAGCTCTCCGCCCTGGCTGCCAAGACCCTGGAGGTTACCGTCTGGGACTATGACATCGGCAAATCTAACGACTTCATCGGTGAGGGGGGAGCTGTGCTTGGGGAGGGGGTGCCGAGGGAGGGTGGTGGAAGGTGGTTGGTTGTTTATTGTGCCGTGCGTGCCGCCAGGCGGCGTGTCCTTGGGGCCGGGTGCCCGTGGAGAGGCCCGGAAACACTGGTGCGACTGCCTGCAGCAGCTGGACACAGCCCTGGAGCGCTGGCACACCCTGACCAGCGAACTGCCCCCAGCTGCTGGGGCTCTGCCCTCAGCCTGAGCTGCTGCAACTGTCACCACCCCGCATGGCCCCTGGGGGCCGGGGCCAGCACCCAATCTTCGCACGTGTTGCACGTTTACACGGGGTGGGGTGTCCCCCTGCCTCGCACTACCTGTCTTATTTTCGTGAGAGTCTCTGTGACCGTGGGGCTGTCTGCTTTTGAGGGACTGTGGAGATGTGTATTCACATATGCAAACTTACTCCCGCCTGACTCGCTATTACCTGCAAATATGCAAAGCGCCCCGCCTCTGCACATCTGCGGGGAGCCCCCCCAACTCCCTGCCCCTCCCTAGTGCCCCTTTCTCCTGCCTCCCCAGGCTGCCCCGGCCCCCACCGCCGCCCAGGGAGGAGGTCGGATTAGGGGAGGTTTGGAGAAGAAAGTTTGCTAAGCAGGAGAGGACAGAGCGAGCCACTCCATTAACAGTCTTCATTTAAAAACACACACATACACACACACACACACATGCACATACACCCCTCCCACCCCAGCCCTGTACAGCTGCCCTTGACAGGGGAGAGGGGGCACTCACTGTTAAGGGCGCTCTGCCGCCCACGAGGTGGCAGGTGCTCCTGACCACTCCATTAAACAACTGTCCCCGAGGGGGCTGGGATGCTAGGGCAGGGCCCCGCCACCGTCCCGGGGTATGCGCGTGCATGACTGCGCCTTTTCAGATTGTGTCAGTGGCCAAAGCATGGCAACCAGGCGTCAATAAACAGCTCCGAGCAAGCTGGGGGCTCGTGTGTCAGCCACGGCGCGGCGGCTCACTCCGGGATGTCGATCACCAGGTCGTCGTCCCCATCCAGGGCGTCATCTCCACTGCCTGCGTCGCTGAACATCTGCCGAGGGACCGTGCTCAGGATGGTGGGCGGGGGCATTTTGGGGGGAGGCAGGGGGGTCAGGGTGGCCCCGGCCCCCCGGCCCGGGAAAGTGAGTGGCCCGCCCACGGGGCAGTCGGGAGCTCCCACGGCCATCTGCAGTAGGGAAAGAAATAGAGAGGGCTTGTCAGTGGGGGCCCGCTGGGGGCCAGGTAGAGCTGGGCACACTTGCCCCTTCAGCGTGCCTAGGGGTGACGGGTGGGCATGGAGGGAGTAGGGTGGGGCAGGTGGGCATGGAGGGGAAGGGAGGGGAAGGCTGGCCATGCCCTGTCATGGGGAAACTTGGGGGGGGGGTAACCGCAGCGCCAGCCTGCCCAGGTGGCCGCCTCCCGCCTCTGGGCACCTTGCTACATCCTGCCACCTCTGGCTTCCTTTCCCTCCTCCGACTGTGGGACTTACTGGTTCGGTGGAAGGTACTGTGGGCTGCCTAAGCCAGGAGCCTGAGCAGCTTCTTGGCCCCCCCGTAGCTTCTAGGCCCCCTTGGAAGGGCCCCTCCTTGGGATCCCCACAGTCAACTGGGCTGGACCAGGCCCTCCTCAGCTCACCTGTGCTACGGGACCAGCCTCTAACTGGACTCCCTGCCTTCAGCCTCGCCCAGATCCAGTTCCTCCACACTGCAGCCAGAGGGGTCTCTCTAGAACACAGACCTCAGTGTGTCACAGCCTCCCCCCGGGCCTCCCCGCAGGCTGGCCCCTCCACCTGGAGCGGCCCTCCTCTGTCTGCCCAAGTCCTGCTTTGTCCTCTGACCTTGGAGGTGGGCTTGATCCTGCCGCCCCTGGGACCTCAGCAGCCCTCCCCTCAGGACCTGCAGGGGTCTACTTTGCTAATGGGCCCCAGCAGTGGGCAGCTGGGGAAGGGAGCAGGTGTCCTTGGCCTAGTCAGAGAAGTACTGAGGCGCAGGCCTGCCAGGTCCCCACAGGGCAGATGCTGGTCCAGTCCCGGGGCATGGCAGGAAATGTGCACGCACTTCCCTACATGGCCACAGGCCTGTCCCCAGCTTTTCCAGGAGCCGTGGCCCATGACTCGGGGCAGGAGCCTGGCAGGATCTTCTGGGCAGACAGCAGCCCTTGCTCAGGGCAGCGGCCTTCACCAGGTGCCTGGCACCCACCTGCCTGTGCTCCTACCCCCAGCACAGGTACGAGAGCAGCTGTGTAAGGCCCGTCCCTGTCCTGCCCCATGAGCCTGAGGCTCACCAGGGCCGAGGCAGCGGGCTAGGAAGTGAATGTGGCTTTATCTTCCTGATGATCCCACAGAGCAGACAAGCAGGCTCAGGGAGTGTGCTGCCATGGCCAGAGTGATGGAGCCCACATGCTCAGTGTCCTGGCATCCCGCCTCTGCTCGGCCAAGCAGCCTCCTAGATTTTCACACCAGCCCCACAGAGGCCTATGGGTGTCCCAGAATTGGGCTGCTGGGTCTTCTGGAATCCACTCCCATTTCTCTTGGCTAGCTCCTTCTCTCTTCTCACTCCTGACTCATCCCAGACAACAAAACACGGTGTCCCTGTCCCCTTCTCACTGTTGCTCAGCCCATAGCACCAACAGCTCACTTACTTGGGCTCCAATACAACCTGTTCTGGTCATTTCCCTGACCCATCCCGTGATGGCTGCTGTGGGTCCCTCCCCTAGGTGGCACTTTCCCTCTGGCACAGTTCTCACTACTGAGGCCACGCCCCTCCACGCACCTGCTCCCAGCTCCACTTACCCTGGCCCTCTCTACCATCTGCTTCTGTCAGACCACAAACCAAAATCCAGGTGGGCAGTGCCAGGACCCTTGCTAAAGCCCTGTTGGTCACAGCAACACGGGGCCAGGGTCACACAGGAAGCCACTGGCTGAGCTGGGGAGCGGACTTCAGGACCTATCTTCCGAGTGACTCCAAATGAGGCCTCCCTCTCTGCTTTGGGCTCCGGAGCCGGGGTCTGCCAAGCCTGGACTCTGAGCTGGGTGGGGTCGGCAGCAGGCTCCGTGCCCAGCACTCATCTGTTCTCTACCCGCCGCCTCAACTGTCTGTGTAGGCCCAGGCTCTTGGCCTTAACTGTCTGGGTGGCATGTCCAGATAGCATCTCAACCTGCCTGAGGTTGGACTCCTCTCCCACCCCACCTGCTCTGGGCCACAGCCCAGCTGTCTCAGGCCAGGCCACACCTGCTCCTCAGGGAGCTTTGTGCACACTGCACCCACACAGCCCCTCTCCTGGGTTCCTGCGGTCTCCTCCTCATGTCCGTGGGTTCACCCTCAACCCTACACCCGGTCTGTCTCCTCCCAGCTGTGCCAGTCATCAGTGTAGAAGGGCAATTTTCCACATGGGTTGCCACCTCACCCATGGGACAAATCCACACCTGGCGGAGACCCTCAACCCATGTATGACCTACTCTGACCAGCCTCTTTTCTTATTTTCCTCCCACCACATGGGCCGCGTCCTCAAATATGCACGTATCACAGGGCCTGGGCACTGGTGGCATGATGGACAGATTCTCTCACAGAGCCAAATGGCTGGCACTCATCTCCCTTGAGCCTCCGAGCAAACAGCACCCTGTACCACCCCACCTGCAGGATCAGCTCCTGTCCACCCTTTTCCTGCTGGAGCCCCCTGAGGGGCTGGGGTTCTGTCTGGCTCATGGTCATCCTGTGGCTCTGAACCCTGAGCACTGCACAGTCAGCACTGTGGGGACAGTGACTACGACCCAACCTGAGCTCCTCATGGGGACACAGTCCAGGGGATCCCGAGGTCGGAGAGATCTGCTCAGGCCTGGATTTGGCATCAGCTACACACTGTGCCTCTCCTTGGGGGCTATGGATACAGGTGCCCCGTCCCTGGCCACCTGACAATGGCACTAGGCAGGCGCCCTCGCTGACTTCTCCAAGCAAGGTCCTGCCCTGGGTCTGTCTAGCAGCCTTAGTGCCTTGCCCTGGTCTGCGGCCCTGCCAGCCCCGGATCCATCCTGCCATGTTCTTGGCCAGGCCCCAGCCCGTCCAAGCCTCCCTCAGATGCTGTTCTGTCACTCAGGCCCCTCCATAATGTCCCCAAGCCAGGGTACCTTGAGTTTCCGGGGCAGGCGGGGTCGTTTCTCCCGCTTGGGCCTCAGGGGGCTGGCCTCGGGCAGCTGCAGGGCCAGGTAGTCGGAAGGGAATGGGGTGTAGGGAGGGGAAGCCAGCTGCTGGGAGGAATGGGAGATGGAGATGAGGTGTGGAGCAGGTGAGGGGGGAAGGGGGAAAGATGTGAACAGGAGGATGGAAAAACAAAAGAGATGGTGATGAGTGTGGCTCCCGGGCCCCGTGGAGCAGAGGGGAGGGGGCGGCAGCAGGACTCAGCCGGGGGTTGCTCTCCTCCGTCATGTCTGGCCCCCATTCCTAGGCACACGTGGGTTGGCAGCCCCGACTCACCCCTCTGCACCCACACGAGTCCCCAGTGCTGGGCTCATCTCACCCTGCCATTCAGCCCCTCAGCCTAAGTGGTGCCCCCTCTGGAGTCCCAGGCATATGGGTTCATCATTTCCCACCCCAGACCCTGACTCACCGAGCTCAGGTATGGTGATGGGGTCCCGGAAGCTTGAAGGGGAAATCCCGCAGGAGGCAGGGAGAGGCTGGAGGGGGAGGGGGAGCCACCCAGGGGAGGGCTTCTCTTCCTGCGGTAAGGAGAGAGGAGAGGTCAGAGGCAGTGGGGCTGCTTGGGTGGTGGTAGTGCAGGACCCCCGCGGAGAGGGGTGCGGACCGATTCTCACCTCTTGGGAGCTGGTGTGTCCGACAACTTGGGTGTCCCCTCTGTCTCGCTGTTATCTGAAGAGGCAGTGGCATCGGAATCTGGGAGGGGGGCAGCGGATGAGCCAGGGAAAATTCAACTCCCAGCTGGCATGCTGGTGCTAATCTGGGGAGTCCATGGACTCCCTGGCTCCCCAACCCCCCGCCACCTTTGCCAAGCATTGTTTGCCTGCCACGCTCTTTCCTGCTCATAGTCTCTCCTCATCTTCGTCACACCCTCCGGGGACGAAGGGGAGGCTGGGACCTCCAGATGATGTCTTTGAGGCTCGGAAGGAAAGGCTTGGGGCTGGCACCTGACCTTGAAGCCACAGCTCCTTGACAGTTTTATGCCCCCCAAATCCAGGGGCCTGCTTATTCCCCCCCACCGCAAATGCCACAAGGTGAGGCTGCACTGGATCCCAACCACCCAATTCTTCCCGACACCCCCACAGCCTGCTCCAAGGGCCTCCCACCACAACTGTACCCTGTGTCATGCTAACCTAGCTGTGTGAAAAACAAAACTTCCCTCTTGGGTCACGGCCTCTGCCTCAAAAGCTCCTTGTGCAATCCACAGCCACCACAGGGGCTGGTGTGTGGCGCAGCAAGTTAAGCTGTAGTCTGTGATGCTGGCACCCACGCGTGCCGGTTCCTGTCTCGGCTGCTGCACGTCAGATCCAGCTAACTGCTAATGCACTCGGGGAAGCAGTGGGAGATGGCCCAAATGTGTGGACCCCTGCACCCCTGTGGGAGACCTGGATGGCACTCCTGGTTTCAGCCTGGCCACGTGGGGAGTGAACCAGTGAACGGAAGATGGATCTCTCTACCTCTACCCTTCCTGTTATTCCATCATTCAAATCAATCAATCCATCCTTAAAAAAAAAGTAAAAAACCTATTAACCACTTCATGGAATGCATGCCACTCCAAATCTGTCCTGTCAGATCCTTTAAGAAGTAGATTAAAGGGCCTGGAGCGGCAGCCAGGTGGCTTAAGTCCTCGCTTTGCATACACTGGAATCCCATATGGGTACCAGTTCATGTCTCGGTGGCCCCGCTTCCCATCCAGCTCCTTGCTTGTGGCCTAGGAAAGCAGTTGGGGATGGCCCAAAGCCTTGGGATCCTGCATTTGCTTGGGAGACCCGAAAGAAGCTCCTGGCTCTGGATCAGCTCAGTTCTGGTTGTTGCGGACACCTGAGGAGTGACCCAGTGGATGTAAGATCTTCTCTGTATATCTGACTTTCCAATAAAAATAGATAAATCTTGAAAAAAAAAGTGATCACATTGAGGCCTGACACAGTAGCCTAGTGGCTAAAGTTCGTGCTTTGCATGTGCCAGGACCACATATGGGCACAGGTTTGTATCCCAGCTGCCCCATTTTCCATCCAGCTCCTTGCTTATGGCTTGGGAAAGCAGTCAAGGACAAGCCAAAGCCTTGGGACCCTGCACTGTGTGGGAGACCCAGAGGAAGCTCCTGGCTCGTGGCTCTGGTTTAGCTCAGCTCTGGTCACTGTAGTCATTTGAGGAGTGTACCAGCAGATGGAAGATCTTTCTGTCTCTCTGTACATATGACTTTCCAATTAGGGAAAAACAAAAATAAAACTTAAACATGCCATTCCCACCCTAGGGCCATTCTTCCAGAACCTTTTCCTCTGTCTGTCACAGCTCTGCTCACCCTGTGCTGAGAAATGTCACCTGCGGGTGGCTCCCTAGCCAGCCTGAGGCTCTTTCTCTTCAGCCCTAACCCACCCGGACCACCTACTTGCTGGATTCCCTCTGGCTGCCTGCCCTGGAGCTCCTCTCACACAGGAGGCTAACTAGTCTCCCACAGCAAGGGAGAGCCAACAGTCAGAGCTGCGGTTTCTGCCAGAGCCTCCAGAACCAGCTGCTGCTGGGGTCTGCTCTGGGCTTTGCTCCTCCTGAAAGGTGAATGGTAGTTTTGGTCCAAAACATTATTTACACAAACTGCAGCAGCACTGGTTGTTGGCCCACATATGCCCCCTTCTACTTCTGGGCTTTTCCAAATCAGGGAGATCCACAATTGATAGGTCATAAAATCAGTTTCTGGGCCCAGTGTGGTGGTTCAACTGGCTTGCAAGTGCTGGCATCCCATATAGGCATTGGTTTGTGTCCCAGCTACTCCACTTCTCTGCTTATGGCCTAGAAAAGCAGTCTAGGACGACCCAAAGCCTTGGGCCTACGAACCCCTGTGGGAGACCTGGAAGAAGCTCCTGGCTTAGGATTGGCTCAGCATCGGCTGTTACGGCCACTTGGGAAGTGAACCAGCAGATGGAACATCTCTCTGTAAATCTGCCCTGCCAATAAGAACACATCAACCCTGGCATCACTGTCTCAGCTGGTAACTCACACGAGGGGAAGTGTCAGCACGTGTCCTGTGTTGTGATTCCTTTTCTATCTGTATGCATGAACAGGTCACCAGAAACGACACACACAGCCAAGTCTGAGCCACATCTGCTGCGACCCTCTGCTCATCACGAAAGCCCACCTGGAGCTCCCCAAGGTGCCCGCAAGCGTTAGCGGTTCCACCTGCCATAGGCCCCAGCTCAGCCTTGACTCTCTGAATGGGCCGCAGGCGGGTTCCTCCAGCTGAACGTGGCTTCTCTAACACTCTTCATTGGCTGAGGAAACGCTCCCTAAGAAAAACCATGTGTGGTGTCCAAAAACATTAAGATGTGTGTTTATAAATAAAACTGTAGGAACCCAGCTTTCCTGGCCCTTCCATAGGGCTAAGTGGCTGCTTCAAAGATTCCGTATTCCAGCACCTAAAATATTTGCCAGCTGGTCCTCCACCACAGCTTGCACCCCCTTTCAGCCCTCAATGATACTGAACATTCTAGATTACTTATTTCTTCACCCCAGTGAAAATGGCAAACTGGAAGAGGCCACATAGGCTTTGTCCCTTTCCGTAACTATGTCCCCCAAGGGCCAGGTGCCAACAGGTGCCCAAGAAACTGGAATGCAAGACTGGCCAAGGAGGAGGAGGAGGAGCAGCGAGGGGGCCGCGTCCTCCACCCAAGGCCGTAATCTTGCTCACCAGAGGAGTCTTCATCCACGTTCTCGTACTGCAGGAGTCGGTCTAGCAGGAAACTGCAGGCAAGGCAGCGGGAGAAAACACGGCTGCTCAGTGCGACCCTAGCCCTGCTCTCCTGGGACCGATCCCGGGGCCCTGAGCTCCCCCAGCTCCACCCCAGGGTCGCGATCCAGCAGAGTCCCCAGGGGCCACCTGCACCTGCCTCCCCGGGGAACGGGCCTCACCTCTTGTCCCGGGACACCTTCAGCAGTTTCCTCTGGGCCTTGCGGAGCTCCTCCTGGAAGCACTCGTGCTCCTGAGAAGGCACAGTGGGCGCTCGGCCAACGGCCCTCCCTCCGTCATGGGCTCCCCCACCTCCCTTCGCACACCGGGTCAACCCCGACCCAGAGGTCCTCCCGGCGTCCAGGCCGCACCCCGCCCACTCCGCTCCCCGGCGACCCTCCCTCTCTCCGGCACTCACGTAGATGAGGAACTTGAGCTTCCGCTTCAGATTTCGGTATTTCTTTTTGTAGTCCACTTCGCCATCCGCCGGCCCGTTCATGACCTGCTCGGGAGCAGCGGCCCAACCTCTCGAGTCCCACGACCCCCGCCCGCCCTCCACCAGCCGGCTAAGCCTGGCCGCTCACGCTTCCACTTCCGGAGCCCCCTCAGACTACAATTCCCGTCGTGCCCTGCGTCCTGGAGGGCGTGACCACGAGGGCGATGGGACAGTGGCGCCTCGGTGACGTCACAAGAATGGCGGGCGCCGTAGGGTTCCACTCCTGGGTCTCAAATGTTACTTCGAAACCTGTAGTCGCAAAAAAGACTTGCCCTAGAGATTCCTAGTCTCCTGGAGAGTGGCCTCTCTCTTTCTGCCTTCTGAAAGAACAGCGGCTTAACTAGTGCCCCCGGAAGAAAAGGCAGCGTCGCGGACTGATGACAATTGCCCGAATGGTTGCCGCGTCGACTGTTTCAAACGCGAGCTGTACGGACGACTCGTTCTAACAGCGCGTAGGGGCCACGAAGTTCTGCAACTGCCCTGGGAAAGCACAATTTGATTGGCAAGTCCTCGGCCGCGAGCGGTCCGCAGACGAGGCTCAACGGCCCCTCTCGTCACGGCGCCAGCGTGCGCCAGCTGCTGTCAGGCGCACCGACGGAGGCCCGGAGAGGGGGTTAGAAAAGGCGGGAGCCGCCAATCCTGGGTGGGCCAAAATGGCGTGGGAGGACGAGATGCAGGCGTTCACTCGCAGCTTGTTCCGAAGCCGGCCGGACCTCAGGTGCCTAGGGGGTTGGAGCTGGGGGTGGAAGAGGCCAGGGGTGGAGGCGGACTGTGCTGACGCCGTGTCTCTGCAGCACGCTCACGCACTCGGTCGTGCGGCGGAGGTTCTTGGCTCACACGGGTCGGGACCACTTGGAAGCTGAACAGAAGCAGGCGCTGAAGCGACTGGTGGAGGAAGAGCTGTTGAAGATGCAGGTGCAGGCGCGTGCTGGGGCGGCCGAGGGGATGGGGTGGGGCCGAACACAGCCTTAGTACATGCTGTGCACCCCTCGCTCCCCCATTTGGTGCACACACAGGTGGACGAAGCCGGTGCCAAGAAGGCTAAGAGGCCTCCCAGCCCCTGCGGCGACTCGGAGAGGAAAAGGTTCCGCTGCAATTCGGGGTCAGGTCAGTGATTCCTCCCTCACTGTGGTCCCAGATGTGAGCATAGGTGGGGTGGGCGAGGGCAGAGTCGAGAACCGGGATGGGTGGGCGACAGCCATGTTTCCTGGTGTTCCCCTCGGCTGGCCCTGCTGGGGGCAGGCCCCGGAGGAAGTACCCCAACCTTCCCGTCCGTCCTCCAGAGCCCAGCTCCGCAGCCTCCAGCCCAGACCGCTTTGGCTCTCCTGCTGAAAATGGGCCTTCAGTAGCAGAAGTTGACCCAGGTGAGGAAGAGGTGGAGGAGGAAGAGGAGGAGCTGGAGGAAAAGAAGAAGCAAAGGCAAAGCTCCAGGAGAAGAGTTGAGGAGAGCAGCGATGAACAGGAGCAGCAGGACCTGCCTGCAAAGACAGCATTGCAGGAGGGAAGCAGTGAGGAGGAGGGCTGTGTCAGAGACCGCAAGCTGTGCAAGGAAGAGAGCAGTGAGGAAGAGGATGAGGAGAAAGATTCCAAGGGCAGGCCTAGGGAAAAGCCAGGGACCCAAAGCCAGCTGGCAGCAGGAGAGGTCTCTGCGGAAAGGAAGCAGGCCAGGAGCGACAGTGACCACAGCAGGGAGGCACCTGCTCCGAGGACAGCCAGGAGGGTGGAAAGAAAGAAAGGAGCCAAGAACAACACGGAAAGCAACAAGGAAAGCGAGGAGGAGGAGGACTGGAAACCCAAGGCTGGGAGCCGTAGACGGTCAGCTAAGCGGGACAGCAGGCCCCTTGGAGCCTCAGGGGACAGCAGCGGTGGGCAGAGCCCTGGTGCAGCCAGCAGTGAGGCTGACAGTGGCAGCAACAGCGATGAGGAGCCCCTGGTGCGGCTGAAGAGCAAGGAGGGGACCCACGGGAGGGGTGAAAGCAGCCAGGATGGGGCTGATGCCCACCCACGGGCGGGATCGGCCACTGAAGGCCCTGCGAAGACGGCTAACCTGGGCGGTACCAGCGATGAAGACAGCGACCTGGAGAGGGAGGGGAGTGACAGCGAGACCCCAGAGAGCGTCCAGGAGAGAAAGAACCGCTCTGTCAGAAAGAGCTCCCGGAAGGGCCGGGCCCGGAGCTGCTCCTCCTCCTCCTCGGGAGGAAGTCCAGAGCCCAAAGGCAGGAAGGTGAGGATGAGTGAGGGCTGCAGCCAGCAGGGGAGAGTGCCTACCAGCCTGGCCCTCAACTGTTCTTTCCTCGCCAGGCTGGTTCTGGGCGCCGTGGTGAAGACCACCCGGCAGTGATGCGGCTGAAGCGTTACATCCGGGCCTGTGGTGCACATCGCAATTATAAGAAGCTGCTGGGCTCCTGCCGCTCTCACAAGGAGCGCCTGAATGTCCTCCGGGCCGAGCTGGAGGCCCTGGGCATGAAGGGTGAGGCTTAGGGACTCGCTGAGGGCTGCTGGGGGTTGCCAATGATCCCCAGGCTCACTGAACGCTGTGTCTGTCTCCACAGGGAACCCCACCTTAGAGAAGTGCCGGGCCCTGAAGGAGCAGCGGGAGACGGCGGCCGAGGTGGCCTCCCTGGATGTGGCAAACATCATCAGCAGTTCGGGTAAGAGTCCACTCTCACTGCCTCAGAGTAGAGCGGCCTTTGGCTTTCTCAGCTAGCCCCTGTCCTGTCTGCTTTGACCTGCAGGCCGACCCCGAAGAAGTACGGCCTGGAACCCTTCAGCAGCAGTGCCCCCCGGGGAGCTGTACCATAGGACCCTGGACTTGGAGGAAGGGCCCCGCCTGGCCCCCACAGACTGGTCACACATGCGTGGCATCATCAGCAGTGATGGCGAGAGCACCTGAGCCTTGTGCCCGCCACCTCCTGTAGGAACCCCCTTCCACGGTGCTGTACACACAGCACCACCTGCCTTGTGCCTGCATGGAGCTTCTCCAGCCAGGTTGGCAGCCCCAGGGACGCAAGCTGTCGGAACATCACTTCTTAGCTTCACATTCTCTTGAAACAAGTGTTCAGAAGGTATATATTTTAGGACTCAATAAAGTAATCACTTCAAGCTGGGTCTGGCTCTTTCCTCCATACCTTGGACACTGCTTCCCTCTGTCCCTGCTCCAGGTCCCCCAAGTTAAAGGCCAGCCTGTAGTCAGTACCCCCGTCTCAAGTCTCCTACCCGCTGTGAGAAGGGTGCACCTTCCAGACTTTTTCCTCTGACCTGTCTAGTCCCTCTGTTGTTAGTGGAGCCTGGTAAATCACTGGTATTAACACGAGAAGCACAAGGGGCTAGCGTTGTAACCTCACAGGTTCAGTGGCCGATTCCAACACTGGCGTCCCATATGGCTGCTCCATTTCCAATCCAGCTCCCTCCTAAGACACCCAGGGAAACAGCAGAGGATGGCCCAAGTGCTTGGGCCCCTGTACCCACGTGGAACACTTGACTCCAGCATGGACCAGTCCTGACCACTTGGGGACTGAACCAGTGATGGAAGAACTCTCCTTCTCTGTAACTCTTTCAAATAATTTTTTTAAAAAAGACATTAGCTATCCCCAAGTCATCTTTTTAATGTTTCCCACCCTTTCCTGTGGAAACCTCGGCTCTGGGGTCAGCTTTCAGCCCTAAAAGGGGTGGGACAAAGGGCCAGTCCTAACCAATCAGCAGTCACCTCAGGACTTTGGGCTCCCAGCTTCTAAACAGTGTGGGGCTGGCGCTTGCAGTCCGAGCCTCTTGTATAGATACTAGTTTCAGAGTGCCGGCTGCTCCAGCTACAATCCAGCTCCCTGCTAATATGCCCAGCAAAGCAGCATAAGATGGCCAAGTGTTTGGGGCTCCTAGACCCACATACGAAGGAGACCCAGGGAACATTCCAGGCTCCTGGCTTGGCCCAGGCCCAGTCCGGTCACTGTAGCCATTTGGAGAAGAGGGCCAGCAGTTGGAAGAGCTGTCTGTTTCTCCCCCTTTCTGTAAATATGCCTCTCAAATAGATGTCTTAAAGGAAAGGGAAGCAGAAGTGGAGACCCTCCCTGGACCCCTGAAGTCAATACTGTCCCTGACCTTTGCAGCCACACAGCACAAGACTATCCTTTCACACACAAGCACTCATTACCATCGGCCACTGGACAGTTCCTCACACATGCCTGAGACAGAAAGGGTGAGCCTGAGGTCTGTTAGAATAACCAATAGTTTATTAAAAGCTTGTCCTGGGGCTCTGCTGGCCCCACAGTGGACAGGGGCTCCCCGGCTGCCCTGGGCCGGAGGGCAGTCCCTCCCAGGGTCCTTCCCTTGTTCCCCCGCCCCAGCCCTAATCCCATTTAAAAAAAAAAAAAGAAAAAAAGAAAAAGGACAAGACGGCACAGGACGTCAGACAGCACGGGGACTGGAGAGCTGCAGGCCTCCTGACCCCAAGACCCTCTCCAGACCCTTCCAAGGAAGGACTCCCATTCTCCCCGCCTTGGGCCCAGACCTGCTCTGCCACGTCCCAGGTTTGGGGGCCCTGTCACCCCCAGTCCATGCCCCACTGTGAGGGTAGTATAGTTCTCTGAATAGAATATCTGGACCCACCCTTCCCCTCCCCCAGGGGACTTGATGAATATTTGACACACACAAGCTCCCTCCTTGCCCAGGCGGTGATGGAGGGAGACCCTGGCACCATGGCGGGGAGGCAGGGTTCCTGGCCAGCCTTGTGGCAACTGATGCCCAAGCTGGCCCAGGGCCACTGGCCAGCCCCAAGAAGCTCATGAGATGAGGTCTGAGGGAGCCGGAGCCAACATCCTGTCCCCGCCCAAGTGGACCTTGGGCTCGGTGCCTGCCCGCCTCATCTGCTCATCCACCCTTCCTTCAGGAGTAGAAGTGAGAGGAGCCATTGAGAATGTGGGAGGCAACACTGGTGCTGCGGCTCAAGGGCCCCGGCACTGCAGCGGTGGCAGGGGGGCCCACACTCTCGCTGCCACTACCCCCAGAGGCTGCCCGCCGCAGGGGCTGGGGACTGTTTCTGAGCAGCAGCAGGGCTCCCCCACGGGGTGTCCCACTCTGTGTTGGGGGCCCCAGCCAGT